AAAAAGAAATAAAAGGCTGAAAGAAGGAGAGGATGGGGGAAGAAAATGAGGGTATATTGGTAATTAAAAATAAAAAATTTGGCCATGTCATCAAGTTTTGCCAAATGGATTTTACACGTAATTTAAGTAAAGAAAAAAAAAATTTTTTCCGTTAGTTAACATGCCATGTAAGCCAAAATTTAACGGAGGGACCAAAAAGGGGCCGGATTTATGAACAGTAAGGATCAAAAAAGGGATTTTTTCGGTATAAGGACTAAAAAGGGGCTTTTTCCTATAGTAGAGGGACCAAAAAGGGTATTTAACCAATTTAAAAAAGTGATGATATGGATAAAATGTTTTGCCACGTAATGTTACTGTCACTGAAAAATGGGCCCCACATCACCGATCTCTTGGCAACTTGTACTCCTAGGTTTGATTCATCTTTCCGTTCGTTGCCTCTTACCCATTGTAAAAGAATCTCGCTCCAATAAGCTTCTTATTACATGAACTCGATCCAAAATCCTTCGTCGTCATGCACTGCCCTTTCCATTTTGCAGGAATCAAACCTAAATCTCGGTCATTAAAACTCTGCCACTCAAGCCATATCCCGGTGTCAAAAAACTCAATCACAAGATCGGACCCAAAATCAGATTCCTTGAAGGTTTTTTCATGACATCCTACTGAATCAAAAAGCTCAATCTCAAGGGTTTGGCATCCTACTGAACCATGAAAATGAAGGTTTTTTCATCAGCCTGTGAAGCAGAAGAATCGAACCCAAAATCAGATTCCTTGAAGGTTTTTTCATGACATCCTACTGAATCAAAAAGCTCAATCTCAAGGGTTTGGCATCCTATTGAACCATGACAATGAAGGGTTTTTCATCAGCCTATGAAGCAGAAGAATCGAACCCGAGCTGTGTTCCCAAAATCAGATTCCTTAAACGTTTTTTCATGACATCCTATTGAATCAAAAAGCTCAATCTCAAGGGTTTGGCATCCTACTGAACCATGACAATGAAGGGTTTTTCATCAGCCTGTGAAGCAGAAGAATCGAACCCGAGCTGGGTCCGGTGGAACCCAGTTTGCTGGGTTTGGTGGAAGAAGAGGAAGAAGAGAAAGAAAGAAAGAAAAAGAAAAAAGAAATGAAGAAGATGGATCAAAAGAGGGGAAGAAGATGTATCAAGAAAGGAGACAGGGGTATTAAGGTAAATTTATAATTTTTTAATTTTTTTATTAAGGCAAATTTAGTTTATGAGGTGGCGTTGACACGTCATCAAAAAAAAAATCAGATCAACATTTTTTAAAGTTATTTTTGTCATGTCATCAAAAAAAATATAAAAAATGCCACGTAGCGGAGTTAACGGTCAAAATTAACAGAATGACTAACGGCGTGCATTTCTTAGAGTTGAGGGATCAAAAAAGTACAAAAAATTATTTAGGGATCAAAAATGTGCAACTCACTAAAGTTGAGGGACCAAATTTAGCATTTAACCTAGATAAAATGATTAATGGAAAAAGAAGCATGTATTAGGATCTCAACTTTTAGGCTTTTCTTAATCAAGAATTTGAACTTTAATTGTTTTTATTGGAGTCCTCCAATTATGGAGTTTTATTGAAGGAAAGATTGGATAGAGAATGATCATGTGCCAGCATGTGATTGTCCACGAGGGTTAGTAGTTCCCATAATTTGTTGAGTTGGATACTTGATTTTTTTTCTTAATGTGATATTGTCTAACTTAACCATTTATATTTTATAAGAAATAAATACATAATGACAAAAAAGACTAATTTGAATTTTAATTAAGAAAATTAAACATTTAAGATCATAATCTACTATTTTTGCCTAAATGATAATACCAACACAATCCCTTGGCAATATACTCAATACAAACCCATGTAGTTCTCAAGTCTTACCCCAACAACATAATTTCATTAGTTAATTTAATTTTTGTGTTTAATTTAAATGTAGATAATACTTATGTTCTTTGATAGAGTAAAGTGAAAATATATCAATCTTTATATCCTAAAGTGCTAAAGGTGCTTGTGTTGCACCTTGTTTCCTAAATAAATCCAAAATAAATCCAAAATTTACTTTGTGCCACATAAGTTCAAGCACTTGGTTGAAGCCAAAGAAAATAACTCAATTGAGCAAATTTAAAATTTTTAGGACTTATTTGCATTCTTTCTTCTATTATATTACAAGGAAACGAGATAAGACTACGATAAGCAACAAAATTTGTGGCTCGAAAACGACGTCGTTTATATGATCTTCAACCTTTATTCATTCATGGAAACAATTCTTTATATTGCAATGAGTGAGGTGCTTTTATCAAAAAAAAAAAAAAAATGAGTGAGGTGCTGAATTGCTAAATGTGTGTTAATTCTGGTAGTGTTACAGAGAATTTAATTTCTAGAATGGGTGAGATTAAAGCTCTAACTTTGACCATAGAGGGTGCTAAGGATCAGGTAAGTTTTCTGGTTCATTCTTTTTTTTTTTTTTAACCGCTTTCTGGATCATTCTATTTCCTTTCTTTTTTTTAAAAAAATGCATCTGCCCCCTTCTTTTTAATTTGACAATTTGTTGGTGAATGTAATAACCCCGCTGAAATTGTTGGCTGATCAGAAATTCAGAACCATCCTGTCTTGTGGCGTTCAGACTCATATATAAAAGGGAAATATTTTTATTCCTTATGCCAGAATCACACATTTTAGTCATCCAGAGGCATTGAAACTTATATTTTGGGCAACATGCAGATCATTTACACAAATGCTCATAACATTTGAGTTTTTCTGATGTCTACTGAGGGTAAGTGACTGGAACAAGGAGGAGAGGTGTCTTTTTGCCCACAGTAAGACTAACACCAACCTCTTCCTCCATGTCCATATCTTCCTCCTTCACCCCATCTGGGAGTTTTTGTTGGAGCTGTGGTGTCAAAGCTGCACAAGAGGCAGCAAATGGAAGGAAAGCTGCACAGGAGGCAGAAAATGAAGAAGGAAGGCTGCACCAAAGCACGGTAGCAGCAAAGTGCAGCAAACCATGCTGCAAATGTTGATGAAATGAGGCTGTAATGAAATGCAAATGAGGCTGCAAAGTAGCAGCAAGTATAGCCACATGAAGCTGCACAAGTGGCAGCAAGTCTTTTAATGTAATCTTGCATTAAATGTATTAGATAAGTATGAAAATTACTGTTGATGTACTGAGTTTTCTGCTATATAATAGCAGAACAATGAATGAAAAAAATGGAGTTCTCACCTCAACAAAGAGGCAACTGTCGGTTGGCTCTCTTCCTCCTCCAAGTCCCTTCTGTTTACACCAGAAAACTCCAACAGTTTTCAATCAAAACAGTAAAGTAGATTTGCAAGTAAAAGCTCTGTTGTAAGTATCCCCATGCAAATCCCTGGACAACCTCTTCTACCTGATCCAAATGGCAAATACTCAAAATTCTGCCCTTTAAAATCAACCAAGCCATTAGTAAACCTTTCCGGGGAGAATTCTTCTGGGTTCTTCCAGTGCTTAGGATCCCTTCCTATGGCCCAGACATTAACGTATATTATTGTTTTTGGGTCAATGTCATAACCACTGATTTTACAGTGAGACATGGTTTCTCTTGGTAATAGCAACGGGGCCGGAGGATGCAATCTCCGAGTTTCCTTTACAACCCTTTTGAGGTATGCAAGATGATCAAGATTGTCTTCTGTTACCCTTAGTTTCCTTCCAACATAGTTTCTGATTTCGTCTTGTGCTTTTTTCATTAGCCTCGGCTTCCTAACGAGCCCCGCCATGGCCCAAAGCACTGTAAGCGCACTTGTGTCTATTCCGCCAAGAAATATGTCCTGTGCACAGAAACATCAAATTCAGAAGCAAGCAGAAATAACCAAGGAAATAAATTATTAGGTTCAAAAATTTTACGAGGAGGGCTGCTTTGATGACATCATTTTTGGATTGCTGAACAACACCATCTTGATTAGTTTCATCTCTCTGTGTTGCCAACAGGACATCAATAATGTCTCGATGTTGTTCTTTGCTCCCAGGTTTAAGATGGTCATCTACAACATGTTGAAAGAAAGTATTCATGTCCTTGAAAACTTTCTCCACTTGTGAATGAAGACCGGTAATCCAGTCGAAGATCCAACCCGCATAAGGAAGGTATTCGTTTGCAGTGAAGCCTCCCATCACAGCCTGAGCTTCATGAACCAACTGCTGGAGTTTCTTCTGATGATCTAAAGTACTCCCTCGAAAACTCCTTCCGAAGGACATTCTGAATATTATACTTCTGGTGAGAGAAATATCTTCTCCTCAAGATCTACAGAAGCTGCAAAAACTGCAGATTGCGAAATCAGGTCCATCAGTGAAGCAACTTCTTCTTCTCTGATGAACCGGAACGACTGCACCTGTTTTACACTGAAAAGCTCAGAAACAGCTATCTTCCTCATCTCTCGATCTCCAGTATATGGAGTAGGGTGAAAAGGCTATGTCTAGTAAATTGTAGGTAAGCCTTCTGGCACTGGCTAACTGAGGTCTGTTGCAGCAGGCCATGGACTTTTAAGACATCTCTTACCCCCTCAGCAGATGAAATTATAAGGACACGTGCGCGGCCAAGATGAAGGAGTAAGACAGAGCCATATTTCTTGGATAGTTTCCAAGAAGAGTTGTGTGGTATTGCACCAAGCTGGTGCAAGTTTCCTAGAATTGAAAGCTCAGGAGGGCTTGGTGGAAGCTACCTGAGCTCTCTATTGTCACCTGTCTTTCTTTTCCTCCAAAGAAGCAAAACAAGAGGAAGGAGAAGAGCAACCGAAATGAATAGGGTAGAGAGAGCCATCAGAAGGTAAGAACTTCCTTTAGTTTGCCAAGTGTTTGTCTTAGCATTCCTATAAATAAGCAGAGGACTTTACTTTGGTGACTATGATTTACAATTGGCAATACTCTCTCTTTCTTAACTGTGACTTTTATTGACAAGTTCTGCCCTTTGAGACAGGCTGATTGCAATTATCTATTTTCCTCCAGCATCAGTGGTAGGGGGGGCACAAATATTTAGCAGTGCCTTTTATCATCATCTACACTCCAAAATCTTGTTAGGCTGTTCATTTATACTGGTATTTTTAGTAATTAAAAAATATATAAATATTATTCATAATTAAAAATTTTAATTAATTAATGTGTATAAAAGAAATTTCAAACAAAATGTTCAATATAAACAAATATCTAACTTTCATATTAATTGAAATTTTTTAAGATTAATACGATAAAGAAGTTCATCAATCTTTATTTAACTTTTTTAATCTTTAAACTAATAAAAATATGATAATTACATACCTCAAGAACTATATGTATGGTGCTTTTTATTTTTTTGGTCATCCATATGTATTGGGTTTGAAACGAAATCATGTACTTCATTGTTTTTTCATTTGTAAATTTAAAGCATTATATAACCTTTAGAAAGAAATTAATTTGCAATAGAAATTAATATTTTAAGTGAAATTGATAGGTTATACCTAAAATGAATAATTATTTAGGTTTGTAAACCTTTAGATTTCAGTTAACGTTGAAAAATACAGAGAGAAAAAAATCGTGGCTGTTTTTGGAAGTCTTGGTAATGGATTTTTTTTTCGCCGTAAAGCTACTATAATTTTTTAGGAAATGAAGGAGGAAAATATGGCTAAAAACCCTCAAATCTTGATTAAGTGAGTGATAAGTAATATTGTTTTTACCCGCTCATAATCCAAGTTTGGTAATTGATCCCTTTTAACATTATTGTGTCAAGAAAAATTGATAATTATTAATTATCATTAGAGATTGATACATTTACTATTTTATTACGTAGTTTCTCATAAGCTTTGATATTGTAATATAATTATCATGATGTGACACGTCAATATCCTAATTTTAATTATAAGTAGGTATGATATGTACATAATCTCTAATTTAAGAATATGCGGTTAGAATTGAACATTGACACATCAGAAGTTATATATACACAAGAATTGCAAAGCAGTGGAAGTTTACCCTAATGGCCAAAAATGGCACGCGGATTGTGACTGATCACAAACAGACCAATTAAGATATTTCAGTTTTAAAGTTGTCTGAATTTTGATGCAATGATTGATCTGCCTGCTAAATTACTGTAATTTCTCTCTATCACGTTGCAATACTGATTCTTGTCTATTTTAAGGTGTTCAGATTTTTATTTTTATTTTTGGTTACTAGAGGCAACCATTTTTTCTTTATTAATTCACTTTATATGTATTTTATGTGATTTAAATACATTAATTTTTACTTTAATTGAAAAAAAGATTACTAATTATTGTTAGACAATTGTTATCTAATATTTTGTTGTGAATTTACGTAATGAAACTTCTTACTTCAGTGCGTGAGTCCATATATAGTAACTGAATCACTTGAAAATTGGTTGGTGTATTGGTTTATAATGTCAAAATTACAGCAACTTGATTATGAATAAATTCCGTGGGATAAAACTTTCCTAATTAAGAATATCTTGTGAAATCATTTTAAGTCTATAGCCTTACATCTAATGAATAAAAACACTAAATTTTTAAGTTAGTAGAATCGATCCGTCATACCATTCAATGTGAGGGCAATTCGGCAAATTAATCAATTCTGTATTTCCGGAAAGATTAAAAAAAAAAAAAAATTCGGTATTGCCCGGGATGGAAAGGAGAAAGTGGGAAGCATCTCAGAGAAAGGAAAGGAGAAACTAGAAAGCATACCTGCACAAGTATAGAAAATAAATAAATAAATAAATAAAGCATATCTGCACCCGTAATTCTTCTAAGAAGATCTAACATTTTTTCAGGAAAAAAAAAATTTGATGATTGAAGGACATTTTTCTGTTGATACATTAGCATTTGAGATAGAAGATTTTTATTTTTTTTTTTACCTAAAACATTAACTTATTAATTAGCTTCATGAGTTCTTAGGTATATCTATTGTTTGATTTTTATGAGAATCTTGTTTTTTTGTATGAACTATTAGATGGGAAACAATCCTCCATGTCAAAAAAACTCCATCTAATGATTTTACATATATAATTTAAACTGTAAAATATGATTAATGAACTTTACATTCAAGTGTGAACCCCTAACAAAAGCAATAATTATGTTGATATAATCTTCCATTATATGAGAAAAGATTTTTAATACCAAAATTTAAGATGAAACTTTAGGATGAAATTATTTTAGGAAATAATTCATGGATAACTTTTTTTTTGTGCTATCTTTTGGTATATTCTTACATGTTATTTAAATAGTTAACTCTTTTTATTTATTTAGGTTCCATGATATCCATGAAATTAAGTGTATCTACTTATTTAATGATATGTTCAAATTATATAAAAAGATAATATAAAAAAATTGTCCATATATCATTGTCTATTATTTTAATAGTTGATTATTTGAATCCATATAAAACTCAAACAATGATGAATGATTACCTTAAATTCATCGTAAAAGTTAGTTCTAAAATTTAGTCATAACTATCATTATTATTACTTTGTTTAATGCTATAGTTCTTAAACTTTCAATTGTAAACATTTTGTCTTTAAACTATCTTTTTCACTTTTTTTATCTCTGTCTATAAAAAAAAATATTTTTTTAGTTCTTCTATCTATTAGTCCATTATAATTAAGGCTTAATTTGAGGTGTTGTGCTGTAGGCTTATAGCTGCAACTATTGGTTTTTTAATTTTTCAATATTTCAAAAATATATAAAGTATAATAATATATTTAATATTTATTTTAATTAACATTTTATATATTTTTAGAATAATAAAAAGACATAAAAATGAAAAGTTAAAACAACCGAAAAGCATTTCTAAACAAAGCCTAAGTATGTCCAAATATACTTATTTTTAGTCACCACTTAGATTATATAATTTAAAGACTAAATAAATAAATAAATATATATATTTATGAATAGATTTAATAAATTAATTAACTGAAAAACTGAAAAAAAAAAATTGCATTTTTCATATTTTAGGAACTAGAAAAGTGCAAAAAATAGTTTAAAGATTAAAAATATTCAAAATTAAAAGTTTAGAAACTAAAATTGACATTTAACCTTCCTACTTCTAGACTTTGTAAAGATTTATTTTGTACAAATTTTACATGATTCAAAAATAAAATGCATTTCTTTAAATTTTTTCTACTCTTTTTCTTTGTTGTAATTTTCTTAATATGTTATTAGAATTTAAAAAGAGAAGTAAATATCAAGACATCATGATATTTTTAATGTTAGAAATGTCTATGAAATTATTTAAATATTTTTAATGAATTTTTTTATTTGTTAATTTGTTAAAGATATTTAAATCCTTTTATCATTATTCTTGATATATTTTAATTTCCAAGATGCAATATTGATTTTCCTCAATTCTATTTAAAAATTAACCCATGATTTTTCTTTAATATCTTTTTATTGGTTTTAAATAATCATAGTTAGAGGTAATTCCTATGACCAAAATTTTGAACAAATTTTTTATAACCATTGATCATGATGTGAATCCCATGTCAGTCCTTCTAATCAATAATTGAAAAAATTTCTTCCCAAAAATTTATCTTAAAATTTTGTCCCAATAATCATTGCTTATTGGTTTTTTCTTTAAGCCTGAGTTGTTTAAAATAAGGATTTTTTTATTTTGTATTATAAGAATATAAGATAAAAGTACAATAAATATGCTTTTTCATAATTAATTTTTATTAAAAATATAAATGTTGATTTTGATTTAATCAATTAATCAATACAAATTATTTACATGTCAATAATATTAAAATATATGTCAATTTTTATAATTTTTAATATAAATTAATTAAAAAAATATTTATTACATTTTGAACTTATATTTTTAGAGTATAGATTAAAAAAACTTTTAAAATAATAAGAAATAGTATGCAACTATTAGTATCCAATTTGACAAGCCAGGATATTTAAATTATATTAAAATAACAATCATGATCAACCATTAAATCTCCCCTATCAATTATTAATTATATTAAACAATGAATCCAAATAGAATCTCAAATTTCTAGAAGTTTTTAACCTGTCAGCCTTGATAGGTCTTGAATTTTATTGGAGATGCTCTCTATTCTGAAAAAGGCTAATACAAACATGATCTCTAATTTCTTATAATTTGTTGGTATTTTTTATCTTAGTCTTAATTTTTTTATTTATATTTGTATGAATAGAATGTGGTTTTTTTATATTATTTTATAAAAAAAAATCTTAGATTTTATTGATAAATAATAAAATACATCAATTCCATATATAAAAAATGTCTTATATTTTAAAAGGCAGTTACTTATAACATTGGTATAGAGAGATATATCATATTCGAATGAATTAAGTACTAAAAGCTTCCTATAAGCGTCCATAAGCTCTCATAACTGTAATTATATAACACCAAAAACTAGGGGAGAGCAAGAAAAGGCCCTACAGCAGTCCTCTAGTCACTACCAAGGGTATCATATCAGATTCCAACTTAACCATCAGGACCTCTCTAAAAACCTTTTTGCCTTTTTCTTTCTTCTTTTGTGCGGTCATGTATTGTCCTTAGACAACGAACACGTTGATGAAATCCCTAGATCTAATTTGAGAGTGTTGAGTAAAAAAATATTATATTGAGTATATAATAAAAAAATATGTGGGTAAAATATAAAGAAAGTTATTCTATTTATTGTTAATTGATTTTATATTAGATAGAAGTTTTGTATTGAAACTTATATACACAATTTTCGCATAATATCAAAAATGAGGCTTTATCCTAAAAAGCTTGTTGTTAACCCACTAGACTTATATGTAAAGAGGTGTATTAAATAAAGAAACAAAAAAAAAAAGAGGTGTATTAAATCATGTGATAATGCACGTGAAGGGGCATATTAAGTGAAAAAATCCCACATAAAGTATATAATAAAGAAGTAAATTAGTTAAATATAAGGAGAGTTATTCTAATTATTATGAAGGAAAACAATATATATACCCTACAAAGTTACACATTCTGTTACACACTAACTGTCTCCGTTACTATCCGTCACACACTTCCCTCGTAACTCCCCAAATGCACCCAACCCTTTCTTTCTCTCTCTCCCCTCCTTTCTCCCTCTCGCTGTTCCAACCTTAGACACATAAAATAAGTTTGTTTTTGGGATGATATAACAGAAAGTGGAGCCAATCCACAAAAAAGGGAAAAGAAAACATGGAAAATTTTTGTAGTTTTAGTATTATATGCAACTTTGCCATTTTGTTCGATCTGCAAAAGTTAACTATTGGATTGAGTTAAAATTTTGTTTGGGTGTTCAAGAGGCATTGATCTACATTCTGAATGGTCAATTTTTTGTTTGGTTTTGTGCCCAGAACAATAACTCATTTTTGGTGATCTATTTTTTTGTAGTTTTGGTATTATGCACAGCTTTACCATTTTGTCCGATTTGCAGTTCACTGTTGGGTTGAGTTAAAATTTTATCTGGATGTTCAAGAGACATTAATCTACATTTTGAACGATCAGTTTTTTGTTTGAAGCTTTGTAGGTTTTGATTTTGTGCCTAAAACAGTAGCTTATTTTAGGTGATCTATTTTTTTACAATTTTGATATTATGCGCAGTTTTGCCATTTTGTCCGATCTACAAAAGTTCACCATTGAATTGAGTTGAAATTTTGTCTAGGTGTTCAAAAGACATTGATCTATATTTTGAACGATTAGTTTTTCGTTTGGAGCTTTGTAGATTTTGATTTTATGATCAAAATAATAGCTCGTTTTTTGTGCACCATTAGTGTATAATGGATTAAATAACAGAGATTGTTAATATGTAACAAAGTGTGTAACAGAGCAGGGTATATATATCAATATTCTATTATGAATTGGTTTTAGTTTGATTTTTTTTTTAGGTATATTGGATGGCTAGCATTATAGAGATTTAACTATTTAATTTTAATCTCAAATTAAAAATTTTAAATTAGTGGATACCAACTCATCCAAGGTTTGCTAGGATTTTATTACTTTCTATAAATCCTCATTCATTGCATGTGTAAATTGTATTTAATATTTTTGGGTTGAAACAAATTAGCACCAAATAAAAAAGTTAAAGCAAATCACCACTTAAAATTTCATTTTAGAGAAATAGACTTAAATTTAACAATTAACTATCAATTTTCATTAGAATCCAAAAGTAATAATTTAACAAAAAAAATATATATATTGACTTTAGCTATTAAATTTTAGTTGATTTCTTTGAAATAAAATTTTGAGATGGTGATATATTTTAATTTTTTTGTGCTAATTTGCGGCAATTTTTATCTTCCGCCATCCTCATTCAATATCATATTTCAAGGGCTTTTTAGAGACAAAGAGGGAGGTGGTGCAGGAAATTCTATATCAAAAGAAGGTCAAAACTCAAAATTTTATAACACTAAAATTAATTTTATTTGTTGAATTTTTTTTTTATAATGTCAAATACTATTAAGTTCATCATGGTATTTAATTTTTTTCAAATTATGAATTAATTTAGTTGCCTAAAAATAAGATATAACCTAATTAACTCAATATAAACTTTCATTATTTTTATACTTTTAAAACTTGCTATTTAACAGGGACGGGTCAATGTTTACAAACTTTGGGCTTTAATCCTAAACTTGGGTAATTCAAGGATTTCAGTAGTAGAAAAAGGTTAAGTTATAGGATGAAAATGTCAAAAATAAAAGTTCGGGAATTAATTGATGTATGGGGTTCTTCCCGATTAATCATAAAAAATAGGCATCATTTCCGGAAAATATAATTTTTTATATTCCTCCTTGAAAAGGGCAATAAGAAGGCAAACTCAACCACTGTTAGCATCCAAACCGTAGATAAGCAAACATTGTCAAGGGGAACAATTTTATTCCTGATGCCTGTTAACACACATCATCGTCATTGAGATACATTGAACTTTATTTTGGGAACATGCAGACTTACATATATGCTCGTATTGTTTGAGTTTTTCTTATGGTGTCTAGTGAAGGTAACTGATTGGAATGAGGAGGAGAGGTGTCTGTTTGCCCACAGTAAGACTAGCACCAACATTTTCTTCCATGTCGATATCTTCCTCCTTCACCCCATCTGGTAATTTCCAATCAAAACAGTAAAGTAGATTTGCAAGTAAAAGCTCTGTTGTAATAATCCCCATGTAAATCCCAGGACAACCTCTTCTACCAGATCCAAATGGCAAGTACTCAAAATTCTGCCCTTTAAAATCAATCAAGCCATCAGCAAACCTTTCTGGTGAGAATTCTTCTGGGTTCTTCCAATGCTTAGGATCCCTTCCTATGGCCCAAGCATTAACGAATATTATTGTTTTTGGGTCAATATCATAACCACTGATTTTACAGGGAGACATGGTTTCTCTGGGTATTAGCAGCGGGGCAGGAGGATGCAATCTCAGAGTTTCCTTTACAACCATCTTAAGGTATGGAAGCTGATCAAGTTTGTCTTCTGTTACCTTTCCTTTCCTTCCTACATAGTTTCTGATTTCATCTTGTGCTCTTTTCATTAGCCTTGGCTTCCTAACCAACTCTGCCATGGCCCAAAGCACCGTAAGCGCACTTGTGTCTATTCCACCCAGAAATACGTTCTGTGCACAGAAACATCAGATTTAGAAGCAATAAAAAATAACCAAGGATAAAAAAATTAAGATCAAAACTTACCAGGAGAACTGCTTTGACATGATGTTTGGATTGCTGAACAGCACCATCTTGATCAATTCCGTCTCTCTCTGTTGCCAACAGGACATCAATAATGTCTCGATGTTGTTCCCTTCTTCCAGGTTTAAGATGGTCATCTACAACATGTTGAAAGAAAGTATCTATGTCCTTGAAAACTTTCTCCACTTTTGAATGAAGACCAGTAATCCTGTCGAAGATCCAACCCACATAAGGAAAGTATTCATTTGCAGTGAAGCCTACTATCACAGTCTCAAGTTCATGAACCAACTGTTGGAGTTTCTTTTGACAGTCTAAAATACTTCCTTGAAAACTCGTTCCGAAGGACACTCTAAATATTATACTTCCGGTGAGAGAAAATATTTTCTCCCCAAGATCTACAGGAGTTGCCGAAACTGCAACTTGCGAAATCAAGTCCATCAGTGAAGCAACCTCTTCTTCTCTGATGAACCTGAATGATTGCACTTGTTTTACACTGAAAAGCTCGAGAACAGCTGTTTTCCTTATCTCTCTCCAGTATGTGGAGTAGGGTGAAAAGGCTATATCTAGAAAATTGTAGGTAAGCCTTCTGGTGCCAGCTAACCGGGGTCTGCTGCAGCAGGCGAGGTCATGGACTTTTAAGACATCTCTTGCCGCGTCAGCAGATGAAACTACAAGGAGGGGTAAGCGGCCAAGATGAAGCAGTAAGACATAGCCGTATTTTTTGGATAGATTCCAAAAGGAGTTGTGTGGTATTGCACCAATCTGGTGCAAGTTTCCTAGAATTGGAAGCTTAGGAGGGCTTGGTGGAAGATGCTTGAGCTCTTTATTGACACCTGTTTTCCTTTTGCGAAGAAGCAAAAGCAGGGGGAGGAGAAGAGCAACCCAAATGAATAGGGTAGGGAAAGCCATGAGAAGGTGAGAACTTCTTTGGTTTGCCGAGTGTTGTCTTAGCTTTCCTATAAATAAGAAGATGACCCTGGGGGTGATTTGCAAATCTTAAAAATCAATTGCTTAAAATATATTTTTCTTACAAAATTAAAATTTTATTGAAGAGAAATTTAAACATTAGTTTTTAAAGTAAATTTTAAATAATTTTTTTTAAAAAGTTACATATTTAAATTTTTATTTTTAAAATAAATATTTTTTAAGCTTTGCTTTGGTGACTATGATTTACACCTAGCAAGTGAAACTGATATATTATACTTGAAATAAAATTATTTAGGTTTAGTATTTTTAATCAAAAATTGTTTCTATATATCTTAAATTTTTAATTAATTTTAAAAATAAAAATAATAATAATAATTCATAGCTATCATGATAGCCATTGTAATGGATCCCTTCTGCCACTATTGTTTGAAGATAAATTAGTAATTATCAATTATTATTAAAAATTATCCTACCTCTTTTTATTATTTAATATTGTAATATGATTGTCATTATATGAAATAATAGCATCTCACTTAATGAGTGGTTGATACGTAAATATTTTTTAAATGTTGAAAAAAGGGGTCAATAGTCATGATACTTCCATCCTGTGTAATGGGCAACAATGGTAGTTTATTTTTTTTAAAACAAGGACAATTATTCATTATAATTATTAATATTTTTAATAAAAATTTAAAGATAAACAGTTATCAATCAAATATAATACACTTGAACCTGACCCTTCGAGCCAAGTGGCTTTTGCCATTCTTGTAAGGTTCATGTCTCCCTCCCCTGGGGCAACGGTTCGAACCAGCTCCATGACAAAATATTCAAAAAAAAAAAATCAAATATAATACACTCCGCACCTGGCGCATGAGGCCCATTGACATTAGTCAGTCTGTCAGTGCATTTTTCCTCTTCTGAGCGGTTTCAAACCACTTCTTGCCAAAATATTAAAAAAAAA